ATTTTCTATTACTTTAACTTTTGTTATATAAATATATAAATCAAGTATATGAATAATTCCATGGTCACCATTGATAAATGCATACTTAATATGATTTGATGTTGTATGATGAAAAACACCTGAATCATCCTACTAATGATAAGTAATTCGTATCATTTGACCACATTGTATATTTAACTTTGCCACTTCTCACACTTGCTAATGACCCTTTTTGTTAAGCATCATATATATTAATATGATCATTTTCACGAATTAATCAAGATCTCTATCAACATAAAAAATTTCATTACAATTTGCTAATTAAATTTTCTTTTTATATTTTGTATTAAAATCCATAAAAAAGATTCAAAGCAACCCGTATGGCATTTAAATCAGATGAACGATGGCCTTTACATACTAGAAAAGAAGAATATACATTTAAAACATCGAACAATTTAGATAAAATATCTTTCTCTTTTTGAAACGTTACACCCTTTTAAAATCTTGACTTTCAATTCGAATAAATCATATCATCCAGAGTTTTATATTGAATTTGTTGATTCATCAGCATCTTTCGAACGTGGAGCATCAACAATATTATTAAATAAAATAAAACAATTAATTTATTTTAAAAAATTCTGAAAAAATTTACCTTTGTAATTATATAAGAGGAACACCTTTTGATGTTCTAATTTCCAATCATCGTGAATATTTGATTATCATGACCTAGCAAACAAATGTTTTATTTTACTTTTAATTTTTGAAAATGAAAAGAATCTTACCAGCAGCAAATAAATTTCATATTGAATGAACTGTTAAAATTCAATATCAATCATTTTTCAATGATTTCATTTAAATTGAATTAAAATAAAATAAACTGTTTATTCATATCCCAAAGTTGATCTATGGAACAGAACAAAAAAGAAGTGAATGATATGAACATACTTGCATATTGCGTGCTCGTCTGTTTCGTGCTCACAACTGAATATGGAAGCGAGAGAAGAATGAAAAAATAATATAGGTCACGACAATATCTTTTTTTCTTTTCTTCTCTCGTCCGCAAGTCGTCATTGTTCAGGTTATCATTGATGATCAATGATAATATGACATAATGATTGTATATATCAATTAAGCATTATCCCATACACATACATTGAGATATTTGTGATTGAATTTATATTAATGTATGTGTGTATGTTGACCATAGCTTAATTACTATCATCTTTTCATCACTGTCTGTCGAAAAAAAAAGTAAAATATCGATTTTTTTAACATATAAATATGAATGATTTTCTATGTAAAATCATTCAATTTATTGAATCAAATATTAATCTTTTCTTTTTATATTTTAGAATGATTTCGACGATACAAAATTATACAATTCAAATCAATGCAACACAATAAAAAAATGTAGGTATCAGTTTTTTTTTCTTTATTGGATCATACAGAGGGTCGTAAGTCCTCTTGTGATCTTTTATATTCATGTTTTTCTTTTCCTGTTAAAGACGTCATCATTCAACATCAACGAGTGAGTTAATTTTTTTTCTTTTTCTTTTCTTCGTTGAGATGAGAATAGTTAGGGTGAGTAAGGTACGTTGAGATGAGAATAGTTAGGGTGAGTAAGGTACGTTGAGATGAGAATAGTTAGGGTGAGTAAGGTACGTTGAGAT